GGCCGTGGCCGCCAGGGAGGTAGGGGTGGTGACGCAGGTGGTAGTGGTCGTGGTGGTGGTGACGGTAGTCCGCCTGAGGGGACTACCACCGGTGGGCAGGAGCAGCAGCCCCAGCAGCAGCAGGACCAGCCCCAGCTGCAGCCGCCGTCCCAGCAGCACCCGCCGCAGCCGTGGGCTCGTCTCCCGCCTGGTTGGCCCGGCACCTCCGGAGGCGGTGGCCGTGGTGGCGGCCCGCGCAGCTTGGCGTCTACCAGCGGCTCCAGTGCTGTGACCTGCCAGTACCAGCTTCAGACCGGGCCTCTCCGCAGCACTCTGTGCCGCCGCCCGCACCCGACCGCCCGCTGTTTCCGCCGCCTCGACGATCTTTTTCGTCGTCGCTTTGGCCCGGCCCCGGACCTCCCTGACTGGCACAGCCTACTCCGCCAGGGCGTGCCGATCTTTGAGTTAGACATGGATCAGATAGGTGCTGCTTTGCATGCTTTGTATGCTGACGCTTCTAGTGTTGCTGGATCTTACTACCCTGTGTACTCTAGTTTAGGTGTTTCACCCTTGTGTAGCTTAGCTTCCCCTGCTGCGACAGGCGTAGGACTGCCTAGGTTGCCTAGTCTAGTCGCTGCACCGGCTCCGTCCCCGGCCTCCGCCACTGCGTCGCTGTCCTTCACTCTCGACTCTGGTGCTTCTGCCTGCTTCTTCCGCGACCGTTCCACGCTCACGCCGCTTGCTGCACCTGCTGTTGTCTCTCTCGCTGACCCCTCTGCGGGTCCGGTCGTCGCGCGCAGTTCTACGTCCCTTCCTTGTCCGGCAGTTCCCTCGGGCTCTCTTACTGGCCTCCACGTTCCCTCGTTCTCCAGGAACCTGGTTGGTGTCGGCTGTCTCCAGGACCTCGGCGTCACCACCACGTTCCCCGGGCACGAGCGGTTCGCTGTCTGTTCTGAGGCTGTCTCAGGTTCCCCCCTTGCGACGTTCCCCCGGGACCCGGTGTCCGGTCTGTTTACCCTACACACCGCTTCCCCCCCGGTTGGTGCGTCCTCCCAGGTCGCTGCAGCTTGCTCGTGTCGGTCCCTCACTCACCCCTCCCTTCTCTGGCACCACCGCTTAGGTCACCCTGCTCTCCCGCGTCTGCGTCACATGTCCCAGCACGGTCTTGTCTTAGGTCTCCCCGCGTCGCTCCCTGCCCTTCCTCCCTCGACTGCGCCACCGTGCACGCCTTGCGTCGAGGGTCGGCTCCGCCGTGCTCCTCACTCCTCCTCGCTGCGTCCTGCTACTGCCCCCCTTCAGACCCTGCACTTGGACGTTTGGGGCCCTGCCCCCGTCCCCGGACCGCGCGGTGAGCGCTACTTCCTTGTGCTCGTCGACGACTACACGCGCTACACCACGGTGTTTCCCCTGGAGCGGAAGGCCGACGTGCCCGACGTTCTTCTCCCGTGGGTTGTGGCTGCGCGTCTCCACCGCGGTCTCCCCGTGTTGTGTCTCCACTCCGACCGTGGCGGCGAGTTCGCCTCTGGTCGGCTTGGACAGTTCTGTCGTGCGGAGGGCATCACCCAGTCGTACACGTTGCCGGACTCGCCACAGCAGAATGGGGTTGCTGAGCGCCGCATCGGCTTGGTCATGGAGGTCGCCCGTACCTCCATGATCCATGCCGATGCCCCCCATTTTCTGTGGCCGTTCGCTGTTCGCTACGCGGCTCACCAGCTTAACCTGTGGCCACGCTCCCAGCGGCCGCAGGTTTCGCCGACCCTCCTTTGGACCGGGTCCCCCGGTGACGCGTCTGCGTTCCACGTCTGGGGCTGCCTTGCTCACGTTCGTGCCTCTGGCACGGACAAGCTCACTGCCCGCACTGTCCCCTGTGTCTTCCTCGGTTTCCCCCTGGACTCGTCTGACTGGCTTTTCTACCACCCGCCGTCTCACCGCTTCCTCCACTCTCGTGACGTCACCTTTGACGAGTCCGTCTCCTTCTACCGCCGCTTCCCTCACCGAGGTCTCCCAGTTGCCCCCCCCTTTTCCTTGCTCCCTCTCCCCCGGTAGCCCCTGCCCCTCTCCCGCCTCGTCCTGCCCCGTCTGGTGTCTCCCACGTCACTCCCCTCCCGTCGGTTGTCCCCGTTGAGGAGTCTGCTGACTCTGGTGGTACCCCCGGTCCGTCCTTGCCGCGTCCCCCTTCCCCGGTGCCTCCGCCCCCACTGTCGCAGTCGCCGACCCCGCTGCCGCCGCCGTCGCCGTCGCCGCCGCAGCCGTCGCCGCTGTCGTCGCCGCCGCCGCCGCTGTCGCTGCCGCAGCCGTCGCCGCTGTCGCCGCCGCCGCAGCCGTTGCCGCCACTGCCGCCGCTGCTCTCGGCCCCTGGGGGTGCTGGTGTGGAGGAGGGTGTTCGTCCTGCGGCTTCTGGGGGTGCCGCTGGTGTTGGAGGGGGTTCTCGCTCTGGGGGTGTTGGTTCTGGGGGTGCTGCTGTTGAGTGTTCTGCCGACGGTCGTTCTGCCTCTGCTGGTCCGAGAGCTCCGGCCCAGCCGTCGTCGCCGCCGCAGCAGCCGTCGCCGCCGGTTTCCGCTCTCCGCCTGCTCGGCCTTCCCTCCCCGGACCGCGCGCCGGTGTCTCCCCCACCGCCTCCTGACCTTCCTGTCTACGGTCCTGTGTTCCCGCCGCCAGACTCGTCTCCGGCCCGTCTTCCTCCTCGTTCCCCTCCTGTGTCTCCTCCGCTGTCCCCTGACCCTACCCCTCCGTCTCACGTTTGGGCTCGCCGTCCCTCCCGTGCTCGTCCTGTCTCTCCTGTCCTGCCCACCCACCCTATGTTGCTCCGTTCCCACTCGTCTCGTCCTCCCCTCCTCCCGTCCCCTCCTCCCTCGTCCCTTGCTGTTGCACCTCCTCCGTTCTCTGACTACCTCCGTGCTGCTCGTCCCCTTGTCCCTCGGGTCCTTGCCTCTCTTGTTACCGACCCTGCTGTTCCTGTCTCGCGCCTTGACGCGCTTGTCGCTGCTGTCGCTGACTTCGCCTCTACCCGCCGCCTTGACTACGCCACCGCTCTGGTCTCTGACCCTGCCCGTCCTCTGTCCGTCGGGGGTGCTCCTGCCCTTGGCAGTGACGTCCTAGAGGACAGGCAGTACGAGCTGGCTTTCCTTTCCGAGGCTGCTCCCCATCTCTGCTCCATGCTGTTAGTCCCTGAGGGTGACCCAGACGCCTTCGACATCCCGACCCCTCGCACCTACGCTGAGGCCACCTCGGGACCTTGGGCCTCTCAGTGGATAGCTGCCATGGAGCAGGAGATGGCATCTTGGAGATCCACCGGCACTTACGTCGACGCAGTTCCCCCGCCTGGGGTGAACGTAGTCGATGGTCGGTGGCTCTTCAAGGTGAAGCGCCCCCCTGGAGAGCCGCCTGTCTTCAAGGCGCGCTACGTGGCCAGAGGTTTCACTCAGCGCGAGGGGGTTGACTTCTTCCAGACCTTCGCCCCGACCCCGAAGATGACCACTCTTCGGGCGCTGCTACACGTAGCAGCACAGCGTGACTACGAGCTTCACTCCCTCGACTTCTCTACTGCCTTTCTTCAGGGCAGCCTACACGAGCAGGTCTACCTGCGCCGACCACAGGGCTTCACTGGTACCTTCCCTCCTGGGACCCAGTGGCTTCTCAGGCGCCCGGTCTACGGCCTGCGTCAGGCTCCCCGCGAGTGGCACGACACGCTACGTGCCACGTTAGCAGACCTGCAGTTCTTTCCGTCCTCTGCTGACCCTTCACTGTTTGTGCGTTCCGGCCAGACTCCGTTCTACATCCTTGTCTACGTAGACGACCTGGTCTTCGCTACTCCTGACAGGGACGCACTGGCCTCTGTGAAGGCAGAGCTGCTGAAGAGACACACCTGCACTGACCTTGGAGAGCTGCGTCGCTATCTTGGCCTGCAGATCTCTAGGGACAGAGCAGCACGCACCATCACTCTGACCCAGTCACACTTGGTGCGTCAGGTCCTTCAGAGGTTCGGTCTTCAGTTCTCCTCTGCACAGCCCACACCTCTACCCGTAGACAATGGGCTCTCTGCTCCCGTTCCTGAGGAGCCAGTAGAGCCCAGTGGCCCCTACGCAGAGCTGGTGGGTTGCCTCATGTACCTGATGACTTGCACTCGCCCAGATCTCGCATACCCTCTTAGCATCCTGGCTCGCTTTGTGGCTACAGGCAGACACCGACCTCAGCACTGGTCTGCCGCTAAGAGGGTTTTGCGTTATCTTGCTAGTACATCAGGCATGGGGTTAGTGCTAGGAGGACGCAGGCCAGTGGTCCTTACTGGGCACACAGACGCTTCTTGGGCAGACGACGCTGAGACGCTCAGGTCGTCGCAGGGCTACTGTTTCAGCCTTGGTTCGGGTGCTATCTCTTGGAGATCCACTCGCTCGTCGTCTGTGGCTCAGTCTAGCTGTGAGGCTGAGATCTACGCTGGTGCCATGGCGGCACAGGAGCTCCGCTGGCTGACCTTCTTGCTCACAGACTTAGGTGAGCGGCCTAGCTCTGCCCCGGTCCTGTACGCTGACAACAGGGCCATGATACTCCTGTGTCAGGAGCCTCGGCTTGAGGGCAGAGCGAAGCATATCCAGCTGCGGTACTTCCTCCTGCGCGAGCTACAGCAGCGCCGCCAGGCCCGCGTAGTTCACTTGGCCTCAGGTGCCAACACAGCTGATATCTTTACTAAGGCGCTTGCGCCTAAAGATCATCAGCGGCACTGTGTACAGCTTGGTCTTGTTCCTGTAGCTGCTCCCCTGTTAGGATCCTGATTGTGTACTCTCTATTATATATGCTTGTCAGACTGGCCTTGTGGCCTTACCTCCAGTGGCTGGACTAGTAGTGCCACCCTGGCTTGCTTCAGTTTTGGTTGTATTCTTGCTGACTGGTCTCCAGACCCCTGCCTCAGTGGTTGGACTAGTAGTGCCGCCCTGAGCTGTTTACTTCTTGTTTAGTTTCACCCCTTGTCTAGCCTAGGGGGTGTGTCAACTTATACATATTATCTATGTAGAAGTTATAGGCTAGACTGAGGTATGCTTCTAGTGAGTACAACCAACTAGTATTTGTTCTAGGTTTCCACCTCTAGTAATCATTCGTTTCTACGTTAACAGTCCTTCCTTCCTTCCTAGCTAAGCTAGGTTCCTAAGTGTAGTTCCTATCCTAAGCTTATTTGATAATAACATATACAACTATCTGTTGACATGTACAATCCCCTCCTTGCTTCCTAGCTAGCTATTCTAACATTCTGTACAAGTCCTTAAAACCCGTGCCCCAAATTGCGAGGCGCAGCCTTCAAACGCAATGCGTTTGAAAGTTGCGTTTTCGTGGGTGTATTGGGGGGTAACGAGACTCTCGTCACTCAGGGGGCCTTACAAGTTCAGTGCGGAAGGTAGTAATTTGGAACACCAGGTACCGAGCGTTTTTCAACCTTCTAGTTTTTCCAGATATTCATCTGACGGCGCGTAAGCCAAGTACTTCCCCCAGTAAGTCGAAAGCTAATCTCATCCGTCAAACTGTGTTAGTAAATATGACGGTTAACGACAAGCATTGAATTTGCGAGAGTTAACGCCCCCGCGATTTTCCAGCGTACGTACAGCCAGAGGGTCGAATTTCATACGCAGTGCGTTTGAACAATTTGGGCTGCAGGTTTTAATGTCAACAATGTGTCAAAGGAAACTCACATGATATGTATAGTACAATTTGGAACAATTCATACACGTCCTCTATCCATTCAGCTTACTCCTATGTACATGAGCTCCTATTCAGCTTACTGCACTGTCACTTCCGCGACAGGAAGCTGGTAGTTCGCATCTTTCATTACAATCACATCTCCATTCTCCTGCACAATGGCTGTCTTCTCCACCAGCAGCAGAAACGCGATCAGCTTTCTCCCCCCATACCCGCGACTACCGTCTCTCTGCGCGGAGTATTGTGCTGCTGAGGCCAGTTGGCGCGTGAACCAGTCTCCCAGTGGGCTGCTTGAGCGTTTCGTAGGGCACATCCCGTTCCGCAGAATAGGATCAAAACTGCTAGACCGAGTGCCGTGAAACGCAAAATCCAGATTCCCCCCTTCCGCGGTATCCATGTAGGTCAGGCCTTTGACTAGGGAATTGGGGAGTAGAGAAGGGATAACCTTACGATAGCGAAACCATAGCAGCACGAAGATACCAGTGACTAACTTTTTATCACTCACCGATAGACAGAACCTTACCTAGCGCAGAATCAGCCGGCAGGCTCTGAGCCTTTGCGAGGAATCGCGTGATCAGCGGAGATCCCGGCGTCAGGTAGGGGTTTCTGCGAACCTGCTGCACCACCACGTTGCACTTCTGAGCCCGCTGATTAACCACGTGCTGAACATACGCCTGCGTTGTGAATGCATCGATAATACGACTCCAAACCTGCCATAGACGATCTCAATCCAGACATTATTAGATTCCGTGAATAATGGCGGCCCTACGATCGCGCCACGTCCCGAGCGAAATTGAAAAGATTTTGCGGCATAATATTCGAAATATTATTTTTAGGTTGTAGCTTACCACCGAAGGAGTCATCACAGCTGCGCGCAGTTGCGTAAGCGTCAGTTTCGGAATGATCAGAACTGGCCTCTGCTGTCCGCTTGAGGAGTTTCTCTGCTGCAGGCTCTGCAGGTTCAGCGTGTAAGTCGCGCCGCTGGGGTAAACATTCGACGTGAAAATCCCCAGGCTCACGTTGCTAAGGCCCAGCGAGGCCGCCTTGAGGATCGCTCGGGACGTGGCGCGATCGTAGGGCCGCCATTGATCGTCATCCCGCCAATAGATTCCGGGAAGGTCGGGCTCCGAGCAAGGACGAAACGTAATGCACATGGTGGCGCCACTTAGTTACCGTTGAGAGGCTTGAGGAATTCTCACGCTGCTCACAGTGCTCGTGCGCGAGGTTCAAGGCACACTGGTAAGATTAGTGGCAGCGCGGGATTTATGCCTGGGAGGAAGAGAGTCTTGGGCTGGGGGACGTATTCTAAACTGCTATTGACCCCTGACTCCCGCGCCGTGGACCCGAAAGTATGTTTTTTTCATACGATGACCCCGTTAAAAACAGACACCTTTGAGCTAAGTAGGATCGCAAAATGCACGTCTCCAGCTGGATTGCTGGTTTCCTAAATTTGCTCGACATAAGCTTTGAGGGTTTTCGGTAGAAATGGGAAACTTGTAAAATGTCCTTCTTCCTTTCATTTACCCCTTGTCAAAATTCTCCATGTCTTCCCTCCATCTCCTCGTCCTCGTACCCTCCGAATTTGCTAACCTGAACTCCATTTTATGTTTCGAGACATTTCCTTTCCTCGAGTCGTTCTTCCTCGGACATCAGCTTACCTCCGACTAAATCTTTTTACGTCAAGCTACTAGACGAATCTACATCTCTCTGTCGCATGCTTCAATCCTCCACCACAGGCAACGGTAACTCCTACCTTCTTCCGAGTAATCCTGACAGCTGCAAACCACCTTGTCGGTCACTAATTCGTTCCGATCGAAGGGTACTACGAGCATTAAAAGTAGGAGATTTTCCATTTCTAGACGCTCTCCTCCGATTTTTTTCCACGCCGTGTTCACGTTGTCTCAACGCCTTACGCGCTCTGTATTTCGTAGTATCCTGGCTACCTCGTACCTCCATCATCTATCTCGCATCGCGAATCGTCTCCATCATGGCGTCATGCGTCCCGCCTCGTGTCTCGCGAATCGTGCCGCATCCCGACTTCCGTATCTTGCTGTCATGCATCGTGCCTCGTGCTTCGTGCTGTGGCCAGCTAGCTTTCCGCACCTCAGCCCGCCATGCGCTTCCATCCACTCCTCTCCCGTTGACGCATTTCAAAACTAGGCCATGGCGCTTTCCACCACCAGGCACCTCTCTCGCATCTCCAACGCGACAAGCGCTGTTCGTCGAACAACAAACACCATCATCGGCCTTCTGAAACGCGTGGATGCGATAGGCCAGTCCGCGATATGGCTATTATATGCATGGGTGAAGCTACGGTACTGCGAATCACGACGCTGTGCTGTACAAGGTTCCGCTGTCCGTAATAGGCTACGATGCATGGGTTCGACATTGAGAACTGTTATAAGTTAAAAACCTCTCGATGGATGGACTTTCCGAGGGCTGCGTTTTCCGCGGAACTGGTTTGTTCTGCCAAGGGACACTCTCGGGAATAACTCGAGGTTCGAGGTTCGAGGTTCGAGCTTCGAGGTTCGAGGTTGTGTTACATGCACGAATCACGGTCCTGGGCGTGTGTACTGTAATGCATGGCGACTATAGACAGCACGAGGCATCATTGGGAACGACTGCAGGCAGCGAAAGCAGGGAGTGCGAGAAGCAGCCAGAGCCCTGCGACTGTTGCTGCTGCGTCTGACGACCAAGGGAGGCAGGGGTTCAGGCAAGAGCCGGGTTTGGACATTTGGTCGGGTTTGGTCGGGTGAAGGACTCACTTCAGAGACAACGGCTGCAGGGAGGGATTGTGCCGAGGAGAAAGGAGGGTGAGCGGGGAAATGAAACGGAAGAGACTGGGCAAGGGAACCAAGATATCTGCGATGGGTGGGGAAGGAGAGAGCACACGAGGGCAAGGCATTGAGGAGAAAAGCCAGGAAGAAATGGGGAGGAAGGGGGGTGAAAGGCGTCTGGTTGTTGCAGCATCGTCAGAAGCAGCAGCAGCAGCAGAAGCAGCAGCAGCAGCACCTCTCGAGATGCCCCTGGTCAGGCGCAACCAGCGTGTGACACGGTCTCGCGCCCCACCTCAAGAGGACGACCAGGAGCGCCGCCAGATCCACTCCCTAAACGGCTTTCAAGAACCCCAGCTGGTTCCTCGTCAGCTAATCTCTCCCCAGCACGGGTCCCAGGACCAACAGCTGGGGATCGATACGTCTGCTGGGTACGAGGGGTTTCGTCGGGCCTCACCTCAAGTGGACGATGAGGAAGGCCAGATCCCTTCCTTACACGGCTATCAAGAACCCCACCTGATTCCTCGAAAGCTAATCTCTTCCCAGCACGGGTCCCAGGACCAACAGCTGGTGCTGGATACACCCCGTGGGTTTGAGGGGTCCGGTGGGGTCGAGGAATTTCGCCGAGCCTCACCTCAAGAGGGCGACGAGGAAAGCCAGACCCGTTCCCAGCGCGGGTTCGGGTTCCAGGAGAACCAACAAGCGCTGCTCGATGTATCCCGGGGGCACGAGGAGCCTTGGGGCGCTGATGGGGCGAGAGGGCGAGGGGGGAGGGGCAGAGGAGGAGGAAGAGGAGGAAGAGGAGGAAGTGGGGGAGGGGGGGGAGGAGGAGGAGGGGGAGGAGGGGGAGGAGGGGGAGGAGGATGGGGCATGAAGGGAGCATGTGGTAAGGCTCTGAAAGAGGCAGTGGCGGCGGGTGTGAATGGGTTTGCTAGTTGGGCTCTGGGTTTTAGGAGGAGTGGAGAGGGGGAGAGCAGCAGGGGGCGGATGGCACTGGAACATGGGGATGGGATGCAGGGAGAGGGGAGGGGAAGGAAGGGACGGTTGGGGAAGGGAGGTTCCGGGAGAGGGGTGGGCAGGGGATGGGGACTGGATGAGGGTGGGGAGGGAAGGGAGCTTCAGCAGGTGGGGGAGTATGAGAGAGTGAGTGAGGGGGGAAGAGATTGGGGTGGAGAAGATGGGGATGAGGAAGGGGAGGAGGAAAAGGAGGAGGGGTGCTGGGGGCTGTGGCAGGAGAGGGGAGCGAGGGTAAACCGAAGAGAGCATGGGGTGTTGGAGTCGGGCGAGGGGGAGCAGCACTCACTAGAGCAGCAGCAGCAGCAGCAGCAGCAGCAGCAGCAGTATTACTACCGAGGCAACTACCTTAAGCCGCACTCGCAACAGCGCTATCAGCACCAGCATCAGCAGCAGCGGCAGCAGCAGCAGCATGAGCAGAGATACAATCATCAGCAGCACCAACGCTGGCAGCATCGGAACAACAAGAACCTGCCAGGGAGAGAGCACGACCGAATCATCACAGAATCCGCGCGAGTCCCATTCGCACCACCATCCCCACCACCATTCCCTCAGGCCTATGACCCCCCAAGTGCTGCACGGTGTGGCTACAACCTCCGCTCTGCCCCTCCTCCTCCCGCCACTTCTTCTGGTGCGGGTGCTGCTGGTGCGGGTGCTGCTGGTGCGGGTGCTGCTGCTGCTGGTGCTGCTGCTGCTTCAGGCTCAGCAGCTGCTGCCACAACAGGCTCTGCCCCTCGACTGCAGCTGCCCCTCCGCTCCCACACCATGCATGGGCTTCAGCCTGCAGCAAGACCCCCTCTCCTCCCCTCCCACACCACTTCTGCCCTCCCTTCCTACCCCGCTGACCCCGTCCCTTCCTGCCCCGCTGCCCCCCTCCCATCCTACCCTGCTGCCCCCCTCCCTTCCTACCCTGCTGCCCCCCTCCCATCCTACCCTGCTGCCCCCCTCCCTTCCTACCCTGCTGCCCCCCTCCCATCCTACCCTGCTGCCCCCCTCCCTTCCTACCCTGCTGCCCCCCTCCCATCCTACCCTGCTGCCCCCCTCCCTTCCTACCCTGCTGCCCCCCTCCCTTCCTACCCTGCTGCCCCCCTCCCATCCTACCCTGCTGCCCCCCTCCCTTCCTACCCTGCTGCCCCCCTCCCATCCTACCCTGCTGCCCCCCTCCCTTCCTACCCTCCTGCCCCCCTCCCTTCCTACCCTGCTGCCCCCCTCCCTTCCTACCCTGCTGCCCCCCTCCCTTCCTACCCTGCTGCCCCCCTCCCTTCCTACCCTGCTGCCCCCCTCCCTTCCTACCCTGCTGCCCCCCTCCCTTCCTACCCTGCTGCCCCCCTCCCTTCCTACCCTGCTGCCCCCCTCCCTTCCTACCCTGCTGCCCCCCTCCCTTCCTACCCTGCTGCCCCCCTCCCTTCCTACCCTGCTTCCCCCCTCCCGCCCTACACCGTGCACCGGCCACAGCTGGGCGCCTTTACCAACACTGCTGCATTCGCTGTTCCGCTTCCTCACAGCACTGCATCTCACGCTGGTGGTTACCGCGTGCTGGTGGTGCATCGCGGGGATATCACCAAGTGGTGTGTGGACGGCGCTAGTGATGCTATCGTGAGTGAAAGAAGGGCCAGGGCGATTGAAGGTGGGTGGGGAGGGGGGAGGTGATATGGACAAGTGGTGTGTGTAGACAGCGCAAGCTATGCTATCGTGAGTGAAAGAAGGCCAGGGGGCTATAAAAAGTGTTGAATGTGAGGTTGGGTACGGTTCTTTTGGTTATGGAGTGCAGGAAGAGAGTTCATCACGAGGGAAGGGGAAGAGGGGAGCGGAGAGTGGAAAGGGGGGGGAGGGGTGTGTTGATATGGACAAGTGGTGTGTGTAGAAAGCGCAAGCGATGTCATCGTGAGTGAAGAAAGGACAGGCGGCTGTAGATTGACGTACTGTCTTGTTGACTGTACGCAGTTGACTCTAGTGAAGTATGCTGTTATTGTTGTAAGCAGGTGGGATTAACGCTGCAAGCACCTTTTTCTAACCTTGTTTTTCTCCCCTTCCCCCCCCCCTCTCCCCCGTCCCTCCCCCGGTCGTTGGTGCCATTTTCAGGTGAATGCGGCACACAAGTCACTTCTAGGTGGGGGAGGGGTGGATGGAGGTGAGAGAGGGGGGACGGACGGGTGGGCGGAGGGTTGGGGGGAGAGGAGGGGAGGAAGGGCAAAGGGTGGGTTGGTTCAACTGGGATAGTTATTGTTTTGAGACGCCTCAAAACGAGAGTCATTGACTCTCCCAATTGACTCCTGTTGCTTCCTGTTGGAAGCAGGGGGGGTGGATGGAGTTGAGGGTTGGTGGTAGGGTTGGGGTGGGCAGGTGGTTGGGGAAAGGAGGGGAGGAGGGCGGGTTGTGTTGGGAGCGTCAATGCTGCACTCGAGTCGGTTTGAGTGGTGGGGGGGTGGATGGAGCTGAGTGAGGAGTGAGAAAACGGGGGAGGGGTGGATGGATGGAGGAGAGTTTAAGAGACGAGCGAGGTGAGATGCGACTGGTTTTGAGAAATCTCGAGATCTTGGCAGGTTGGATGGAGATGCGAGCAGAGTGTTGGGGAGACAGGGCCTTCTGAGGCGCCTCAAAAGGCGAGAAGAGTGAGAGGGAGACGGGGCCGTGCCGCGTGTGCTTGGGATTTGGGTGAGAGTACTTGACTGTTGGAGTACAAGGTAGGCTGCCCGCGGCACCTCATGTGCTTGACATTCCATCCAATGCTTGTGACACACCACATGATGCACTATGACATTCCGGAAGCGTTTTCCCTCTGGTTCTGTCCATCTCTCTCCTTTTCGCTCGTTTTTTTTTTTTTTTTTTTTTTAACCCCGTCTATTCAGCCATCCACAGAGCTGCAGGCCCAGCCCTCCTGAAGATGTGCCTCGACGTGCCCAGGATGTGGAATGGTGATCGCTGCAAGACAGGGGGGGCTAAGACCACAGGGTGAGTGATTATAATGTGATGACATTTCAGTGTCATCATTTACGAACAGTGAAAGTGTATTGTCACTGTGGGGTGAGTGATGAATTTTCAGGGTAGTCTTCTTCTGTTCTCTTCCTGAAGGTATTCCAGGCTTCCCGAACGCCATGTTATCCATGCTGTGGGGCCAAGACATCAACTCCCCCCTAACCCTTCTCCCTGTTCCTACCTGTATGCTCCTTTCTTCCTGCAGCGCTGCCAGGCTTCCAGTGCGCTATGTGATCCATGCTGTGGGTCCCGTATACCAGTCAGAGAGGGTATCAGCGCCGCTGCTCAAAGGCGCGTATTGGTATGCTCTCCCCCCAACTTCCTCCCAACCGTCCCTTTCTCGAACAGTTACTTTTGAGTCGACTCAAATGTCACCTCTGCTCAAAAGCGCGAATTGGTATTCCCCCCCCACAACTTCCTCCTAACCGTCCCTTTCTCGAACGGTTCTTCCCCCCCTCCCCCCCCCCCCCCCTCCCCCAACTTCCTCCCTCCCGACCCCTCATTTCTCTCTCTATCCTTGCATATACATGCGCATTGGTATGCTCTTCTCTCCCCTTCCGGCTCCCCTCCCCTCCCCCGCCTTCCATCTACGCCCTCCCAACGATGCATCCGTCCATCTACATCTCGTTCCCTCACTATCGCTGCTCAGAAGAAGCACGCATTGGTGGGCTCTTACGCCCCCCCTCAATCACCCGCTCGAGTATCTCTGTCCCTCGGCCCCCTTCTCGTCCCCCTTCTTCCTTGACACACCAGTAATTTGTTTGTGATTACCAAGGAGTACATGTAACGTTAACAAGTCACGCAGCACGACCAGTGTGACCAGGCGAGGGTTGTTGCACGTGCAACCAGCCCCGCTTCTCTCTGTCCCTCGGCCCCCCTCTCGTCCTCCCCCCTCTCCATTGACAGAACGATAATTTGTCTGAAAAAACCTAAGGCGTACGTTTAATGCCAGCAAGTCACGCAGCAGGATCAGTGTGACCAGGCGAAGGTTGTTGCAGGTGCAACCAGCCCCGCTTCACCTGCGCAGAAACTCACTCTGTGTCTCCGCCTGTTCCACCTGTTTCACATGTTTCCACTCCCACCCACAGTATCCTTCCGCGGAAGCATTCGGAGGGAGGCCAACAGGTCACGTTTTAGTACTTTGCTGTTCTCATGTGCGCCCACCCACTCACCTCCTCCTTCTCTGTTTCCATCTTTCACTGGAGAAGGTGGAAACAGAGCATTCTGAGTCAACTCAAAAGTCACCTCGTTTCCACCTTTCACTGGAGCATTCTGAGGTCAACAGATAACTCGCCAACAGGTCAGCCATCAAATAACTTACCCATCCCCCCCCCTCTCTCCCTCATCCCTCAAGCAGGGAGACACACCCTGGTTCTTCACCCTTTCTACCCTCACGTTGCTACTCCCGCGTGCGCCCACCCACCTGCGTCCTCTCTGTTTCCACCTTGCGAGCATTCTCAAGGGGGGGGGTTCAACAGGTCAGCTATGAGGCACCTAGCAAAGACCCCCTCATCCATGCTCACACATACCCTGGTCCTTCGCCCTTTCTAACCTCGCAGGAGCATTGTGAGGCGGGCCGTCAAATGCATCACCGTGCCCCCCTTCCCTCCTCTTCCCTCCTCTTCCCTCCTCTTCCCTCCTCTTCCCTCCTCTTCCTCCCCCCCTCCCCTCTCTCTGTTTCCGCCTTTCACAGGAGCATTCTGCGGGAGGCCAACAGGTCATCCACAAAGTATCTCGCCATTCCCCCCCCCTTTCATCCGTGCGCAGTGCACAAACACCCCTGCCTGCGTGTGTGCACACCCACCTGCTTCCTCACCTTTTCCGTGCACGGCCACCCTACAGGAGCATTCTGAGGGAGGCCAAAGGGTCAGCCATCAAGTATCTCGCCATTCCCGCAATATCTTGTGGTATTTTCGGGTATGATACGCTTAAGTTCTACCTTTTTTTTGACAATTTTGGGTATGGGTTTTCCATGGGCGCGTCACTGACAGGGTGTGATATCCATGTATGAGTGTTGCTTTAAGATTCTAGATCAGGTGTCTGTGTCTGTGTCTGGATCTGTGATTCCCCCCCCTTCACACCGCATTCTTCGCCTCTTCGTTTCCTCCTCTCCTCTCCTCTCCTCTCCTCTCCTCTCCTCTCCTCTCCTCTCCTCTCCTCTCCTCTCTGTTCCCCTCAGGTACCCCCCGAGGCAGGGAGTCCGAGCAGCCCTGGAAGTCTTGCTCAACGAACAATGGGGATCCGTGCAAGAGGTAAGCGCTCCCCTAAATGCCCTAGACGCCCTAGACGCCCTTTCATGTTATCGAACCCCGCATCCTCTCCCCCATCCCAGGCCTCTGCATCTTGCTCCTCTGTTTTTTATCTGTTGTGCCAGCTTTTGTTTAGTCCCACCATGGTGACTTTTGAGTCGACTCAAAAATCAAACCCCCAGGCCTCTGCGTCCTGCTCCTCTGGTTTTCTCTGTTGCGCCAGTTTTTATTAGGTCGGCCCAGCATTACCATGCACAACCCGCAGACTCGGGCCGCTTTTAAGGCATCTCAAAAGCCGAGTGTCTACATTTGACTTTTGAGGCCTTTTTAAAAAAGTTTTGGTTAGTCCCAGCATGCCTATGCGCAATCCACAGCCTCATGACATTGCAACCTTTTGAACTTGGTTTCAGACGCCCCCGTCTGTCCTTTTCTCTGCTGCCTGACCAGTGTTGACACACTTTTCACCGTTACTTTTGAGCTAACTCAAAAATGTTTTACTCCACAATCATTTGCTCACAGTCGTCCTCTGCACTCCCTTGCTGTTCCCACCTCTGCGGGTGCACTTTGTCCTGCTCAAATGCACAATGCTCAACGACTGGCTGGCTGCCATGCCACCCATGCCAGCAGGCTGCCACAGCTGCAGCTGCAGTGACCCGAACAGATCCTCAACACTTCCATGCTTCCCCCCCCCCATCCCCACAGGTGTACTTTGTCCTGTTCGACTGCCCGATGCTCAACGACTGGCTGACCACCATCCATGCTGCCAGGATTGATAGCTAGTGAAGCACGTTCACTTGACTCCCACTCCTGTGTGTAATGAGTCTATTTTTGATTCGACTTAAATAAAGACTCATAACACACCATCCATGCTGCCATGCTGCCAGGATTGCCCATGTTATCCCCACCCCCTCCACAGGTGCACTTTGTCCTGTTCGACCATTAAACGCTGAGCGAGTGAGTGACAGGCCGCCATCCATGCCGCCAACATGCCCTCAACGGTGCACCCCCTCCACAGGTGGACTTTGTCTCTGGCACTGACATGGCCAACACAACAAACGTGTGCGTCCTATGTTCCTATGCTATACCAACCCTCTCCTCCACAGGTGCACTTTGTGTTCTTCGACCATAAGATGTTGGACGACTGGCTTACTGCCATCCATGCAGCCAGCTGCCTCAGCTGGCACTGCAACCGCTTAAACAACAAGCACGTGTGCTCTATGTCCTCATGCTATCCCCCCCTCCTCCACAGGTGCACTTTGTGCTGTTCGACCTCGAGATGTTGGACGACTGGCTTACTGCCATCCGTGCTGCCAACCTGCCACAGCTGGCACTGCAATGGCCACCGCACTTGTCACAGCAGCCCCAGCAGTCACAGCAGCCACAGCAGCAGCAGCAGGCACAGCAGCAGGCACAGCAGCAGGCACAGCAGCAGGCACAGCAGCAGACACAGCAGCAGACACAGCAGCAGCAGACACAGCAGCAGCAGGCACAGCAGCAGGCACAGCAGCAGACACAGCAGCAGCAGGCACAGCAGCAGACACAGCAGCAGGTGGCACAGCAGCAGACACAGCAGCAGGTGGCACAGCAGCAGACACAGCAGCAGGTGGCACAGCAAGGGCCGCCATCAAGGGCAGCATGGCAGCCGGGGAATCAGCTGCGGCAGCAGATGAAGGATCAGAAGGCAGTAACAAAACAGCAGCAGCTGGCACTGCAGCAGGTTGCACAGCAGCAGGTGGCACAGCAGCAGGTTGCACAGCAGCAGGTGGCACAGCAGCAGGTTGCACAGCAGCAGCTGGCACAGCAGCAGGTTGCACAGGAGCAGGTGGCACAGCAGCAGGTTGCGCAGCATGGGTCACGATCGAAGGCAGCATGGAAGGCAGAGAAGCCGCAAAAGCAACAGGCTCAACAGCAGCCCCAGCAGTCACAGCAGCATACACAGCAGCAAACACAGCAGCGAGCACAGCAGCGAACACAGCAGCAGACACAGCAGCAGGTGGCACAGCAATGGTCATCATCAAAAGGCAGCGGGGCAGGCAGCGAAGCAGCAAAAGCAGCCCCAGCAGCCGCAGCAGCAAACACAGCAGCAGTCCCAGCAGTCGCAGCAGCAAACACAGCAGCAGACACAGCAGCAGGTGGCACAGCAATGGTCATCATCAAAGGCAGCTCAACAGGCAGCGGGGCAGCCAGGGACTGAGCTCCTGCAGCAGCAGCTGCAACAGATTCCACCGAAGCTACCGCAGCAGCATCAGCAGCAGCAGAAGCAGGAACAGCCGCCACTACGGCAGTTGCAGCAGCAGCAGCAGAGGAAGGATCAGTAGCCATCCCAGCAGCAGCAGCAGCAGCAGCAGCAGCAGTGGAAGGAACAGCAGCCACCGCAACAGCAGCAGCAGCAGAAGAATGGACAGCAGCCACCGCAGCAGCAGCTACAGCAGCAGACAAAGGAACAGCAGTCAGTAACGAAACAGAAGCAGCCAGCACCTCAACACAAGCCAGGAACGGAACAGGGGCAGCCGGCACAGCAGCGAACAGAGGTGCAGCTGGTGACACCTGGAGATCTGGTCACACCTGGATATATGATTACACCTCGAGATGAGGTTACACCTCAATATTTGGTTGCGCCTGGGGGACAGGTTGCTCCTCTAGCTCAGTCTCTACCCAGAGATCTCAAGGGACGTGTTAACCCCACAGCCACCCCTGCAGATGTTGGTGCTGCTGCTGCTACTGCTGCTGCTGCTGCCCCTGCTGCTACTGCTGCCTCTGCTGCCGCTGCTGCCGCTGAGCCTCATCCTTCTGTTATTCCAGCTGACCGTTCGATTACTCTTCCGAGCTACGGCACTGCTGCTGATGAACGCTAGCAGCAGCAGCAGCAGCAGCCGATTCTAAGCAGCTGGCACAGGAATGTCAGAGCAGGGAGATGAAAGCTGGGGATATTAGAAGGGGTGAGATGTAAAGAAGGGAAGTTCCTATGTGACGGACGCAGGGGGGAGTGTTTCAGAAGACACCGCTGGGCCAAGAGAAGAGGGGGGCGGAGGGGAAGAGGTGGAATGGGGAGCTCAGGGGAGATGTAATCAGGGAGTTTCCTATGTGACGGACGCACGGGGAGTTTCCCAGCAGCAGGGCAGGGAGAGGAGGGGAAGGGAGTGGGGGGAGGGGAATGGAGGGGGAGGAGGGGGAATGGGGAACCCAGGGGACATGAAAGCAGTGAGTGTGAAAGCAGGGAGGTCCCTGTGTGACGGATGAAAGGGGAGTGTCCCAGGAACAGCAGGAGGGTCAGCAGGAGGGCCAGCAGTAGGGCCAGCAGGAGAAGGGAAGCGAAGGGGATGAGGGAGAATGGGAAACCCAGGGGACATGAAGAAGACTGGGGAAATTGAAAGCAGTGAGTGTGGAAAAAGGGAGGTCCCTGTGTAATGGACGGGAAGTGTCCCAGGGCCAGCAGCAGGGCTGGGAGAAGAGGGGAGGGGAGGGGGGGGGGGAGAGGAGGGGGAATGGGGGGGGAGAGGAGGGGGAATGGGGAGCCCAACCCAGGAAGAAGTTCACTAACCCAGGAGATGAGAAGGGGAAGGGGATGGCAATAGGGAAGGGGGCGAGAATAGGAAGGGAGGGGATGGATGGGGTTGGGTGAAAACAGTGTGAAATGGAAAAAATACAGTGGGAGACTAGGGGGAGAAATAGGAAAGACTGGGTGACTAGTTTTTTGCACACACCAATGCAGTGTAAATAGTGCTGTGTGTCAACTTATACATTTGTAAATAGTTATAGGCTAGATGGGTTCCTCCTCTTAGAGAGTACAAAAGCAGACCTTTATATCACCTGTATCCTCTTGCTAGAGTTCACTTCGCTACTCTGACATGGTACCACACTAGGTAGGTCCCACCCACCCGCGCTTCCGCCCTAGCCTACCTTAGAGCGCCCCGCCTTCGAGCACCCTGCCCCTTAGCACGCCCCCCCCGTAGCGCGCTCCTGCCCAGGCCCGCTGCACCGCGCTGGCCCTAGCACGCAGCGCTGGCCCTCTGCTTGCCGCGTCGACCCAGCTCGCTGTGCCGCACTGGCCCCTAGCTTGCCGCACCACGCTGGTCCCTAGCCCGCCGCGCTGCGCTGGCCCTAGCTCACCGTGCAGGCCCCTGCTCGCCGTGTCGGCCCTAGCTCGCCGCCGGCCCCTCCTCGTCGCGCTGGCCTCTCCTAGCCGCGCTGGCCCCAGCTCACTGCGTCGGCCCCCGCACGCCGCGCCACCCCAGCTCGCCGCGCCGGCCCCAGCTCGTCGCGTCGGCCCCAGCTCGCCGTGTCGGTCCTAGCTCGCCGCGTTGGCCCCAGCTCGCCGCGTCGGCCCCAGCTAGCCATGTCGGCCCCAGCTCGCCGCGCCGCCCCAACTCGCTGTGCCGCCCCAGCTCGCCGCGCCGGCCCCTGCTCGCCGCACCGGCGCCGGACCCCTGCTCGCTACCGGCCCCAACTCGCCGTCGGCCGTGGTGTCTCCACTGCGCCGGCGCCCTCGCCGGCCATCTGGTCTCCCCCGCCTTTACCGCACTCCACCGCTCTCCACCGCACTCCACCACACCCGCTTGCTCCCTGCTCTCCTCCTCCTCCTAAGTTCTACAACTGCTATAGCTGTGCGTGATGGCGGATGCCATTCTCTGCCTGGACGCAGAGGGTCGTGCGGTGGATTCCGAGGCGTGGCGCACCGACCTGCACCGCTAGCTGAAAGGTCAGCACCATGCTGGCTAATCTCTTGCCGTCCATGTCGACGGTAAGCTGCTCTGCCCCCCCGCGCCTGCTGCCCTTACTGACGCCCCCGCGCCTGCTGCCCTTTCTGACGCCCCCGCGCCTGCTGCCCTTTCTGACGCCCCCACGCCTGTTGAGCGTGAGGCTTTCACAAACTACTGACCTAGCCCGCTCTGTCTGGGAGTCGCGTGATGCCAGTGTGCAGCTAGCTATCAGTCACGCTCTCTCGTTGTCAGAGCGTCCCCGCTTTTAGGCCCTAGAGGCAGCCAAGGAGTACCTAGACCCTGTCGTTGCTCGCTATTCCACTCCCTCCTCCGCCTCAGCTAGCCGTCTCCTCCTGCCCATGCTCTTCCCTGACCTCGCGTAATTCCCACTATCGCCGATCTTGCCACTCACTTGCGCGCTCTCGAGACTAGCTACCGCGCTGCTAGCACTAAGGCTCAGCTCACAGTACTTCCTCCCCCCCTCGGCGTTACCCTTCATTTCCTAGCCATGCGTCTCACCGACTGCCTAGCCATTTCCCATGACACCTTCCTTAGTCTCCACCCCGCTAACCTCACCCTTAACGACTTCGTTGTCACCCTGTCGTCGATAGAGACCCGCCAGCGCACTATCGCTCAGTCTAGCGGTACTGCGGCGGTCTGTATCTTCCAGGGATATGCTCCCTCCCTGTGCACTTATTCTGACGTTTCCGCTGTTCTCGTTGAGAAAGTCCTTGTCGTTGAGACCGTCGTGGCAGCCTCAGAGCAGCCTCGTCATGGTAGAGCCCCCCGTCGCCCTAGAGGGGGGCATAAGGGAGGGAAGGGTGCTGGGGGTGGCGGGGATGGCGGGGGAGGAAGAGGTGGTGGGAGCGCTGGGAGTGCAGAGGAGCGGGTGGGGGCTGATGCCCCAGAGAAGTAGCAGGACCAGCAGCAGCAGCTGAGAAAGCAACAGCAGCCACAGCAGCCGAGTGGGGGGCACCGCCGTCATAGTGGCCAAGCGACTTCACTGGTAGTGGCCGTGGAGGCGACCCTCGCAGCTTGACGTCGGGTGGCGGCTCTAGTTCGATGAGTTGCCAGTACCAGCTTCATGCTGGTCCCCTTTGTGGCATTGTGTGTGGCCATCTAGGTCACGCCACTGCCTGCTACTACCGCCACCTTGACGACCTTTTCCATCTCTGCTTCGGGCCTACGCCGACCCTCCTGGACTGGCACAGCCTGGTACGTCGTCATGTGCCGGTCTTTGAGATGGATATGGATCAGATCCGCCATGCTTTGTATACTGATGACTCTAGTGTTACTCGACCTTATTATCCTGTGCTGCCTAGCCTAGGTGTGTCTGCTGTGATTAGTCTAGGCTCCCCTGCTGCTTCAGGCGTAGGACCTCCTGACTTGTTTAGCCTTGGCTCCACGCTAGTGCCCCCGCCAGTTGACGCTACCGCCGCGCTCTCCATCACGCTAGACTTTGATGCGTCCGCCTGCTTCTTTCGCAATCACACCACTCTCGCGCCGCTTTCAGCACCAGCAGTAGTCTCCCTTGCCGACCCCTCATCTAGTACGGTATTTGCACGTAGCTCCACCACACTTCCCTGTCTGGCGGTTCCCTCAGGCTCTCTTACGGGTCTCCGGGAACGTGGTTGGTATCGGCTGTCTTCAGGAGCTCGGCGTCACCACAATGTTTCCTCAACACGAGCGGTACGCAATATGTATAGAGGCCGCCACGGGTGCACCCCTCACCTCGATCCCCCGGGACCCAGTGTCTGGCCTATTCATACTGGACACCGCGTCCCCCCCCGGTGCCTGTGTCTCCCCAGGTGGCTGTGTCTACGCAGGTCGTTGCGGCTTGCTCGTGTCGGTCGCTTACCCACCCATTGCTATTGTGGGCTCCTTGCCCTTCCTCCCTCGCCCGCACCTTCGTGCACAATGTGCGTCGAGGGCTGGCTGCGCCGTGCTCCTCACTCCTCCTCGTTTCCCTCCACTACTGCTCCACTCCAGACCCTGCACCAGGACGTCTTAGGCCCTGCCCCGGTCCCTAGGCCGCGTCGCGAGCGCTACTTCCTGGTTCTCGTAGACGACTACTCGCGCTACACCACGATGTTTCCCCTGGAGTGGAAGGCCGACGTGCCTGACGTTCTTATCCCGTGGCTAGTAGCTGCTTGAGTCCGCCGCGCCCAGCCAATGCTTCGTCTCCTCTCCGACCGTGGCGGCGAGTTTGCCTCTGGTCAGCTTGGCCAGTTCTGTCGTGCGGAGGGCATCATCCAGTCGTACACTCTGCTGGACTCCCCATAGCAGAATGGGGTTGCTGAGCGATGCATCGGCTTGGTCATGGAGGTGGCTCATACCTCCATGATTCTTTCCGGTGCACCCCATTTTTTGTGGCCGTTCGCAGTTCGCTACGCTGCTCACTAGCTTAACATGTGGCCCCGCTCTTCGTGCCCGCATGTTTCGCCGACCGTTCTCTGGACCGGGTCCTCTGGTGACGCGTTTACCTTTCACGTCTGGGGGTGCCTAGTTCACGTCCGCGCCTCTGGCACGGACAAGCTCACCGCCCGCACCATCCTTTGTGCGTTTCTTAGTTTCCCCCTACAGGCTTCTGACGGGCACTTCTTACCACCCGTCTTCTCACCGTTTCTTTCACTCGCGTGATGTCACCTTTGACGAGTCTGTATCCTTCCACACTAACTTCCCTCACCGAGGTCTCCTTGTTACCCCGCCCCTATTCCTTGTCCCCACTCCCTCGGTAGCTCCCACTCCCCAACCTGTCCCGTCTGGTGTGTCTCACGTCACTCCCCTTCATTCAGTTGGCTCGATGGAGGAGTCTGCTGACTGCGGGGCCCTTGAGGCTCAGGGTGAGCCGCCGATTTCTACGGTGCCTGCACCCTCGGCCTTGGTGCTTCCTCTGCCGCCACCACAGCAGCAGTAGCAGCCACCGCAACAGCAGGGGTCAGTGGGCTCTCGGGGTGTTGGCTTTGGCAGGACTGACTCTGGGGAGGTTTCTAGTTATGGGGGTGCTAGTTCTAGGGATGCCAGTCCTGGGGGTGCTAGTCCTGAAGGTGCTGGTCTTGGGGGTGCTGTCATGGCGAGTACAGGAGGTATTCGTAGTGCGGCTGGAGGTCATGGTGTGGGCTTGGAGTAGCAGCAGCAGCATCATCCGTAGCAGTAGCAGCAACCGCCAGTGTCCGCCCTTCGCCTCCTTAGTCTTCCCTCTCCCGACCGACTGCCCGCGCCTCCCCCTGCGCCACCTCCTCCTCCTGACTATGGCCCTGTGTTCCCCCCGGTGGACTCGTCCCTGGCTCGTTTCCTCCCTCATTCTCCTCCTGTGTGTCCTCCTTTGTCTCCTGACCCTCCTCCCCCCTCTCGCTGGTGGTCTCACCATCCCTCTCGTGCTCGTCCCGTCTGTCCCGCTTTGAGTGTCCATCTTATGTCTCTCCATTCTCACGCATCTCGTGCTCCTCCTGCTCCTGTTCTCCCGTCTTCTCCTCAGTCATCCCTCTCTGTCTCCTTGCCTCCTCTCTCTGAATTTCTCCGTGCTGCTCACCCTCTGGTTCCTCGTGTCCTAGCCTCTCTTGTTACCGACCCGTCCGATCCTGTCTCCAGTCTCTCGGCTCTTGTCACTGCCGTCAATGACTTTGCCTCTACCCACTGCCTTGAGTACACCATTGCTCTGGTCTCTGACCTTGCCCGTCCTCCGTCCATCAGGGGTGGACCTGCCCTTGGCAATGACGTCCAAGAGGATAGGCAGTACGAGCTAGCTTTCTTTCGAAGGTCCCTCCTCATCTATGCTCCATGCTGCTAGACCCAGGGTGGCATCCCGACCCCTCGCACCTATGCTGAAGCGACCTCGGGACCCTGGGCCTCTCAGTGGATAGTTGCCATGGACGCAGAGATCGCACCTTGGAGACCCAACGGCACGTACGTCGACGCAGTTTCTCCACCTGGGGCAAATGTAGTCGATGGACGGCGGCTCTTCAAGGTGAAGCGCCCTCTTGGAGAGCCGCCAGTGTTCAAGACGCGCTACGTTGCTAGAGGCTTCAGTCAGCGCAATGGGGTTGACTTCTTCCAAACCTTCGCCCCGACCCCGAAAATGACCATTCTTCGGGCGTTGCTTTACGTAGCAGCACAACGCGACAACAAGCGTCACTT